ATTATTATTTCTTTATAAAACCCACAAATCATGTTATATGCATATCAAAAAACCGAGCAGCAGTGCCAAAGCTTAAGGAAGCAGGGATTAGTTAGATAACACACTAAGCCAATACAACATGCTTTGGAAAGCCTTCTTACTTTGCGTGCCAGTCAACATATAAGAAGAGGGAGGGAAAGAATATTCTGAGAGTTCTATGGTACTTTTGCAGAGTCTTTTATTGATGGTGATATCAGAAACCTCAGTCCTGATGTCCACTGAAGAAGCCACACCAGAGGTATTTGGTTTTCCTCGCCCACAAAATTGAGACCGTGGCTTTACTGTGATTTCAGCAGCTGGTATATTAATGCTAGCACAACTTTTGGAGTTCTTCTTGCCAAGTAAACTCAGAGACCTGCATATTTGCTTCGACCCGTGATTTTCATCAAACAGCTCTTTCTGCTGAAGAGTTGAGGCAGACACTCTCATGATACCAGGGGTTTGGTTTTGGTGTGTGTTATCAAAACCAAGCTCCAGTACAGAACTAGCTTTGTGCTCACATGGTAGCGATTGTTTTCCATTTCTTGTGCCCAGAATGGTGTTCACACCACTTTGCCTGAGGGAACCAGATTCTCCTTTATTACATACACTTGAAGTAGGAGCTCCAATTCTTTCCAAAGAATAACATCTCGTCCTAAATGGTTGAGGTGGATCTTGTTCATTCCTGAAACCTGAAAGATTCTGACAGCTTCCAGCTATTAGAGGATGAGCACTACCTGGTTTACATGACAGTTTACACTGCTGCAGTTTCCTTGCACATTGTTTTTGAATAATTATCTCTTTTGAAGAAGGTTTCCTGGAAGCTTCATATTCTTTCTTTTTTTTGTCAGGCTCTTTGCGAAGTAGGCTTAGAAGAAGACACTCAGTTGACTTGAAAGAGTTCAAGTGAAGAATTTTTGAAGGTTGAGAGTCACATTTCTCATCTTGGACAAAATGTTTTCCACTGCATATATCTGGAATTGTGATGCAGCCACACATAACTATCAGAAAATGAAATATAAGTTAAGATGCAAGTGGTATGAAAATGAACAAGTTCAGAAAGTAAGTTGCTAACTGAACAGAGAAGACAACAAATTGAAGACACTAGTTTATAGATGACTCTGTTAGTAAAACCTAAGAAAAAATGAGCTCAGTCCAAAAGCAATCTAACAAGATAGTAGCAACCAACATGCAGGAATAAAGAAAGTTAACACACTGCAATAGTGAGGAACAGACAGGAACCAGCACCTATTTTTAAATTATGGTTACTGCATATTTAGAATGTTAGCTCAGACAGGAGTTTTTAGAGGATATTAAGAGACAGAACTACATTTCAATTAATACAGTAATACAGAATGATAGCATTGATGATCTTCCTCAGATTCAAGCTGTCGTACAGATTAGGGAGTCAAAGTCTGCTTTGAATTATAGGTTTGTTTTCCAGTTGATATAAACTTAGACTTGCACTGATTATTTCTAAATTCATACATACCTAGAATATTAACAAACAGTTCATAGTATTCAAAAGTAAGTAATGGTTCAGGGAGACTGAGAAAGTAATCAGCAACCGTTCTGAACACATCCCGTTCAAACCCACTGTAAGTTGGTTGGCTCATGTCATTATTTCTAGGCCCTAAAAAGAGGTGAAGAAAGAAAATTCACAAAAGCATTTACTCTCACAATTCCATTATTAAAAAAAGAAATTTAAAAAAAAAATCAACATAAGTTTGTTCTTGTAGGAATGACAGTTTCACAAGGAAAGAATCATGTCAGCAATATAGAAATACTTTGTTTAGCTCAGCACTGTCCTGCTTCTAGGCAAAACCACTATAGAATATTCTACACAGCCACTGAGGAGTTGTGCTCAGTTCCAACAAGCTGTTCCACATCAGGAAAAGAAATGAAAATACATTTATGCCCTTTATAGGTTCCTCAGCAAAATAATCACAGACTTCCAGCATCTTCCAAACTACAGGAATCTTGATCTTGGCTTCCAGATCAAGAAGCTCATGCTGTGGCCAACCCTGAAGCCAGGCAACATACAGATTGTGCTTTACACGTAGGCCAGACAGAGCTGGTCAGTGTCTTTGCCCTTTGTGGGGTCTCCTCTTTTCAACTCCTCTGTTCAAATGGGTCAACAGAAAGTTTTGTTCACCACTATTTCCATGGTGGATCTTTTCTTCAGTAGTGAACAATCCAATAATCCAAGAGATCTAGTTAATAAACCTTGACCATGTTGCTACAAACAAGAAAAAAAAAAAAATGAATGAAAGGGGTCCTGGAACAAATAAAATTTGTCATTGTGTAGCTGTTTAACCCCAGTGTTATACTCCACTGAACTCCTATAAAGCCACCTTACAAAGCCAATTCTAATGAATTAGGAATTTGCAGTTTTAATTGCACATAGAACCAGGGAAAATTTAACTTCTGATATGATCAAAATTTATAATCATAATCACATCATCACACGCTACACTAAAAATACAGTAGAGCAGTATTCCTCCTGCCAGGGTAAGTATTCTTAGTTTTCACTGTGCAAAGTAACTATTTGGTTACAGTACAGCTCACAGATGCACAAATAAAACCTCCACTTGAACTAATTCACTCAAATTAGAAATTGATAATTCAAAAAACCAAAAAGCTTGCTTGCAGTTTTAATCTCCTGAATACAAAGACATTTTAGTTCTAAATACAGGACTGAGGTGGGAATTAAGGTACTGAAACACTCACAGACCAGTGCTCAGCTCTATTTTCCACTTTGATTTCAATCCACTCACCAGGCTCTTCCCTGGATTGTAACAGTGGATTGTAACAGTGCTCTTCACTTAAGAGGCTCTATGTCTTTGGGAATGCTGGTGAAGAAAAATAGCAGGGCAAGCACACATATAAAGAGCTCATAATCTCAGATTTCATTTGAGAGGCACTCATCTAACTCTAGCATGCCCTGTTAAGCCATTTCAAGAAGTAGCTTTATTAAAAAAGAAGAAAAAAAAAAAAAAAAGAAAAAGAAAAAAGTCAGTCTAATTGTCCACTGCTTCTCCAGAATCCTTTCAAAGCCTGCTTCACAGAGATGCAAAGCTCATGTAATTGTGATCTGTGTAACACCATTTCAAACACTTCTGGCAAAGGGAGGGACTTTGTCCAAGGGCAGGGAGTGACAGAACAAGGGGTGATGGTTTGAAAGTGGCAGAGGGGAGATGGAGCTGAGATGTGAGGAAGAAATTGTTTGGTGTGAGGGTGGTGAGACAGTGTCCCAGGTTGGCCAGAGAAGCTGTGGCTGCTCCTCCCTGGAAGTGTTGAAGGCCAGGTTGGATGAGGCTTTGAGCAACCTGGTCTAGTGGAAGGTGTCCCTGCTGCTGGCAGGGGGGTTGGGACTGGATGAGCTTTGACGTCCCTTCCAACCCAAACCAGTCTGGGATTCTATAAAGAAGCCTAGAAGACAGGTTCCGTGAAGCTTCATAAAAATCAATGGCACTATAAAGGAGAAAGACTATCAGACCACACAGGTCTGCTACAGCACGTGCTGGAGAACAAACCCACTCCTTTATTAGCAAGGGAATCCACATCAGCCTGGATTCATTAGGAATTTATTCATTCCTGGAACCATTAGGAATTCAACTTCATCAGAAAGTGCTTCCCCCTCCAAACTGTGTGAAAATCTCTGCTAATTGCATTACTCCACATTAAATACTTCCCCAGTAGTTCCAAGGCAGCTGCTCGAGGACACGTAACACTCATGCCTTAGGTAACCCATTCTTCTTTTCTCAAGTTTAAGGTTTAACATCATGCTTTTCTGAATTTTATATTAAGCAAATACACAAAGAAAACAAAAAAAAAAGCATGAAGATTTATGTAAGTTGTAAGCACCTGCAGTTTTGCTGCTTGATATTTCATACATTAATACCAAAAGAAGGGATTAGTGCAGACTGACACTTACTCTGCAGACAAGGAAAGTTCTGTTCTGCCACAAAACCTACTGAACAGCTAAAATATCCAACTTTAAGGATCCAGCTCATCTCCTACGCAGTGATTGGTACGGCATTGAAGGTTTTCATTTTCCACAGCTGAACTGTAACTGTAAGTGGTGTCTCACTGGGTTTAAAGCACAAGATTTTTCTGAAGACAGTTTGAAGAAAAAGGTGGGGAAGGAGATCAGGAGGTACCAGAGGAGCTACACTCCAAGTCCAGGGTCCAGGAAGAGATGAGTAGAACTCCTCCTCCTGTTCTCGTGACAAACTGAGTAAACTATAAAGCTGACAATACAAGTGTGCTGCTTTCTTCTCAAGCCCTTTACAAAGTTTTGTTTGATTTCTTCTAAGACAAATAAAAAACTAACTGGTTTTCTGTGAATTGGCTTCCCCAGTTTAATATGAAATGTAGGAACTGGTTTAGTCCAACTCAAAGCCAGTAACTAGAATGGGAAAGTCTCTTTACATCTGAAAAGCTGCATCAGAGGAAGCCACACACAGGCTTTGCCCAAGTACTCAAGTTTTCTCCCTGCCTGACTCTTACATTAACAGGAATTACTCTTCTAAAAACCAGTCCTTAACTTTTTCATGGCCTCAGACAACATGCTTCCACTGAGAGCTCAGAGCTTAATTAATCCTCCTGTATATTTCACAGATTAAGGAATGCTGAAGCCCCTCTTCTTCCACTAATTTAATCTGTTCACATTGCCAAAAATTTGTGTGCAGAATGAGACGATGCAGCCTAGAAGCAGGATAACCAGCTAGACTGCTAAAGGACTGGTATCTTGATTACCTAAAATATGATATCTTTAACAGATCTGAACTCTGTTAGGTTATGTTTCTGTGCTATAACTTGATATCTATTGCTTTCTTTGCCTCTCAACATATCAAGGCACTTGGATTATTTGAATTTCCAAAACGAGGCATCACAATTGATCTTAACATACAAGTATATTTCACTTTCAACTCAAAATAGGTTTCTGGAACTTAAAAGCTATTCAGTGACTTACAGTATGCGAGGCATTTCATAGCTGACAACACCCAGTGAGGGAGATCCTCTAAAATAAACAAACAAACAAGTACATTATTTATACATAACTCCAAAGACTTAATAGCTAATACAAATAATATCACATTATTTTGGGGAAAAAAAGCGTTAAAGACCATGAAAGCTATTATTTTAATTATTATTTATTGTCTGTTGTGATAGCACCATACAAAATTTTGAAGTAAAACCAGAAAAAAATTAAAACCTTACCTGACTTGTTCTGCAAAATAACAACACCATGTTTGCTCGTGTTAGTCACGTTGTATATGACATATTCGGGAATGATCTGTGTTGGCTGCAAAACTTCCTCCAAAGATGGGAGGCCTAAAATGGTTTGCAAACTGTGGGGAGGAAGAGAACAGATGTTGTCTAAAAGGTTTGCTAGTAACTAATGAAAAGTTCTTTCCATATCTATTCAAACACCAGTGACTTGATAACTGTTTAATACATCCTCACTTCCAGAAGGACAATTTGAGGACACACTTTTTCCTGGGATAAATACAAAAAAAATCAGTAAGAAAGAGCATCTATGGGAACCTATATCTGGGGAAGGACTTTTCAAAAGGGCAGTTAGTGACAGAACTAGGGGAAATGGGTTTAAGCTGAAAGAGGGGAGGTTTAGATGAGATATTAGGAAGAAGTTCTTCACTGTGAGGGTGGTGAGACACTGGAACAGGTTGCCCAGAGAAGCTGGCAGTGTTGAAGGCCAGGTTGGATGAGGCTTTGAGCAACCTGGTCTAGTGGAAGGTGTCCCTGCTGCTGGCAGAGGGGTTGGAACTGGATGAGCTTTGAGGTCCCTTCCAACCCAAACCATTCCATGATTCTATGGTACTTAAAATATATTTCAACACAACAAGAAATTTCAAGGAATTTCTTAAATGCAACAATCCACTGCTAATAAACACATTAAAAGCACATGTAAACAATAGTTAGTAAAAAATATTCAATTTAAAACATAATTTTAAAAATTTCAAAAAAAATTGGCAAGCCAAACACTTGATTGGGCCATGCCATGCCCAAAGCACGTATACAAGAAGGCACTTTTTACAACATCTTACTTACTGGATTAGAATGATATTTCTCCAAGTTTCTTGCACATATTCCTGGCTTATTTCCTTCCTATGCAGTGTGTCTTCCTTGTTTTCCTGTGGGTTTGTTTTTTCTAAATTTTCCTGAAAATGAGTGGTTGATACTGTAAGATAAACAATGCTCTTAAGAGAATTCAAAATTAAGTAAAAATTGTTCTCAAAAGAGTAGAGCATTCTGCAGAACTTTGAATTTCCAAAACACAATGCAGGGAGTAATCTTAACAGTCTCAGCACTGAAATGTAACCACACTCAGCTAAAAAACAAATAAGAACACTATGAAAAAAGACCTAATCAACTCAGAAGTCAGCAATTTAAAAGATAGAAACACATCAAACCCCAATGTATTAGTAGGTGAAGTATTTTCCCTTTGTGACATTCACATTCACGTCCCAATGTGAATTCACATGTGCACGAATCTGAAAAGAATAGAGGGCCAAACACTCACATTCAATCTTTTTCAAAAAGCACAACAGTTCAATAATTTGTGCCTTTTACTTGTCTTAAATGAAAAAAAATATATTAACAAGAACATATTGTCCTGATCATTTCTAGAACTCCACCTTCCAGCCCTCCCAATACTCTAAGATACTCTAGCAGGGAGAACTGGGCACTGAATGAGACAAAAATAACATAGAACATCCTTACATATAGATACACAATTAAAATTCTATAATCTCAGATCATACTGATGCAAAACCAGCCCTGTACTCCCATGGGGGTGGCTGTGGGGTGTGTGTGTGTTAAATGACCTTTCTAAGTGACATGGCTGCATTAATCACACTCTCCCCTCTCCGTTTCTCTTCTCAACAAATTATTGCCAATAAGTTTACCAGAAACAGTTCTCATTGGTTTAAGAGTGAACTTAATTTCTTCTGTCAAATACACAATCTTTCACTTGCTGCCAGCATTTAAAAAATGCCATGTTACAGTTACAGATGGTTTTACATGTATGTATTTGATTTGAATACTTACAGATTAGTTAATAAAATCTTTTTGTACATGCAAGAGAAACAGCACACATCACCAAAATATTTAATTATAAAATACAGAGGTATCTTTCTGTTATACCTTTATCAATGTTCCATTTCACTGTCCATAAGAACTTAAGCCATTTATTTCTTAAGCTAGAAGGGAAGATGACACAACAGCACAGCATCATGAAAAGATGATTGCTTCTAGGTTTTGGTTTTTTTAAAGAATAAAGAAAACACATAGCAACTGTAATTATGTAAGAAACATAAGTTATTACCAGAGACTGCAGTAACTCATGTTTTTTGAAAGTTCTCCTGGATAAATGTGGCAGTTTAAGAAGTCTTTCTTTGTCTCTAGAGAAGTTTTCCAAGTTTTCTTTCGGTGGACATGAGCTTGGTAGAGGTTTAACTGGAGATGTTGAAGGAAATCTGTAATGAATATGTTTAGAATGGATTAAAACTATAAAAAGGTCAATTGACCAAAAGCATACCCTATCAGTGTGATTCTGTAAGACTCTGAAAAGATTCAGAAAATTAAGAAGAAAAACTGTGGCATTTTCTCTTTAGATCACTGTTTAACATCATCATACTGTAAATTAGCTTTGGGCTACTTGGTTCCAAAGTTAAGTTGAAGATACTCAGATATTTAAACAGCACTGAGAGCAGAATTTGAGGAGAGAAGGCCATTAATACCTTTAATTTAAGCATTTAGCAGAGACTGTTTCCCACTTAAGACTTTCTGTGAAACATACAAGAGAAGTAAACACAGGACTGGAGGCACAGGGTGAAGCTACTGCAACAAATTCTTCTTGGCTCCCCCCAAAGCACTGAAGTGTAGCACACCCGCAGTGACAAACTGATCTAGGCAAAAGCATGGCAGCAGCCCCCAGCACGCAGGATGCACGGTCTGCACCGCAGTCAGAGGCAAGTAAAATGGTGAGCAGAGTAAAACAGTGCTAATAATTCATTTATCCCAACTGCTCAACCCAAAGCAGGATAGTTTTGAGAATCTGAGCATTAAGATTTTTAAATAAACCTGAAGAGCTCTGTTAACTGGTCTTCATTTCAGTACCTGTAAAGTGCACCATTGTCTTCTAAATTTTCAGATCCCCATCTCCCTTTTATATCTTCAATTACATGATTCTTGAGAAACTTTCTTAATAACTGAACAGTCTGCTGCCTAGTAACTTCAGGACCAAAGTTACTGTTACTCCTTAACACTTCATGAAGCCAGTCTACAGCTTCTGATGCAGTAAAACAGCTTCCATGTTTTTTGAAATGTTGCCTGTGTTTCCTTAACGGCATTCCAGCTCGGAAATATTTGGTAATTTCATTCCACTGCATGGGAAACAAAACAGCAAAGAACGTAAGGTTAAAGCCTGAAGTTGATCACTGTAAGTATTAATTGAAGCAATATTATATTATTAAGCATATAAATTCCCTGGAGGGACTGAAGAGTCGAGTAGACATAGTGCTGAGGGACATGGGTTAGTCATAGGGGACTGGTCAGTGTTGGGTTCATGGTTGGACTCCATGAGCTTCAAGAGCTTTTCTAATCCAGGCAATTCTATGATTCTGTAAAATCACAACGTTAATGCTAACAAATGCTGATAGCTATTTTAAAGAATGTAGCAGCATTAATATAGAAACATTAACATTCAGATTAAAAAAAAAAAACCATAAACATTTAATTTAGGTTTTAATCTCATTCTTCCATAACTGAAAAATAAGGTTAAAGTTTCACAGACATGCCAAGTTTTACTGACCCAGTCCACACTGGGTCCCAGCATTTACATCAACTCAGTTTCCTGAGGCACTCTCAAACCTCTGCCTTCAAACTTGGAGCAGCCCTCAGACACAGAATGCCAGACTGGTTTGGGTTGGAAGGGACGTTAAACACCATCCAGTCCCAACCCCCCTGCCAGCAGCAGGGACACCTT